GCAATTTCTGACGTATCGTCCTAAGGCAATTGCATTTTTAAGACTGGGGGTATATCGAGACCATCAACCCGGAAAACAATGCACATGTACGAATTTGAAACGAGATGTGCAGGAGTTCTCCACGGTCTATGGAACAATGTCACAAAACATGTCCTGAAAACAGGTGGCTCTTGGCCGAGAACACTTACTTCCTTTCAGAGAAGGTGTGATGACCTGGTCTTGGTCACCAGAGGCTGTGTCTTGGTCCTTCACAAGGCTCATTCCTCGAAGGATCACGTTTGTAGGATCCGCCATTTGTTTCGAACATCCACATGGACAACACCTTCGAACTTATTCGGGCTCACCGTTTTGGATCACTCATGGACCAGTGAAGGCCGGTGAAGGCTGTCGCTCGCTTGGGCGCGCCTCAATCGAGGAGTGGTTCCCAATGGTGCCCATCTCTGTCCCACCCACATGACATGGCCAAGAGCCTGCCTGGTGGGGCAAAAAGAAGCTCCTATACTAGCATAGCAAGTCGAGGGTTGTAGGTCGTAGGTGTTTCCCATATTCTCAGTTGCCACCCATGTGGTCCGATTGGATGCCTAAAGGACGACAAATGCAGCGTTGCCTGGGTCAGAAAACTCCGAACCAAACGGTTGATCTCGCCTCAGATTTGATGCCCGAGTAGTGCACGAAATAGTCCTTGAAAAAGACATGATCAAAGGATCAAAGAACAGGGCGAACAGGTCATAAATCTCGGAGGCATCGACCCGCTAGGGGCAGGAGAGATTCGAGATGCGTTTCTGAGCGATTGCTCGTCAACCAGTGCTCTGTGGGCTCTCAACCACGCGGCGAGACATCACCGACTGTGCACATAGTATAGTGTCTGAGTAAAGTGACAAAATATGACAAAATGTAGATTCATAGTACAGTAGACCAGCTGAACTATTACCTGTTTAATACTGTTTAAACTATTTTACACTCTTCTGAACTACGCAAAACCCTGAACCCCACAAAAGACTCCACAGTCCACTGGTTCGCGGGCTTCTCCCTACTTTTATCCACCAGCCAACCATCAGCCAACCTACCAAATGGAATGGTCCCCTGCTTTCTCCCCTTTGGTGTGGTGCGTTCCTTCTCCTCCCGGCCTGACCCTCGCTTTGGATGAAGCCAAAGCCCCGTTGAGGATCGAAGAACTTCACGGTGCCGGTCTTGTCGCCTCGGAGAGATCGGACGTTCATCGAGATCGCGATCGGGCCATCGGGCGATATCGGGCGCATGATGTGGACATGAAAAGAACATGGACCCAAGAACAAGAGACCTTGTTTTTGTTATATATGTCTTTAGCCAGTAAAAGTGTGGTGCTTTAAAGACGTTCCCGACAAACTATCATGAGCTATCCAAGTGGTGACTTTGAGCGTTCCCAGCCCTTCTCATGTTGCATCATGTTGCGACAATCCTACTATCTTGGATGTGAGTCCATGCTATCATTGAAACTCAAGGTTCGCAATGTACTGGTTCTTCCGTCTTCTCCAATTCCCAAGCCGATAGACCATGCATATCAAACGAAGGGATAGCCCTTCCCTGATGTGTAAAATCCTAGCATGAATTGACGGCCCACCAAAACTCTGGAGGACAATGGCACCATATGCCAGCCCATGACGAACGACATGTTCGGCGAGGCAAACGAACTGAACACGGCCAAGAACGTCGGTTGCTGCAAAGGGGCAGGCACAACCGACCCCAGTCCTTCATTCTCAGTCGACTGCTATTGCCGCGCTAAGTCCATCGGCCCCACGGGCCCAACGCCATGCGGACATGTTGATCTCCCGAAACAAAGCCGGGTGTTTGATGCATCGTTTCGCAGGCCACAACCACATCGGGGCAGCCCAGCAACAGTCGACTTCATTTGGTTGAGAGGGCCCCCACTTAGATAGTACAGGATTAATGTTATTGGACCGAGATAACTTGATAACCTAACACGATATATAATATATATTATATTATAATATATATTATATAATATCATGTGCGGTCATGTGCGGTCTTCTCACCTTCGAGTAGGAGGGACCAACCCCCCGCATGAGATAATGTAGGGAATGTTAAAGCAATACCAAACTTGCAAACTCATCTTCTTCTCTTGAAGGTACATAATCTCTAGTTTCTTGTTCCCCTGCGTGGGACAAAGTCCCGATCCGCGTCTAACATGCACCTTCGACTCAGTCAAGGAAGATCGGGGCTCAATGGGCGTCTCTTTCATTGAAGATTGCCCAGTGAAACGGACTAACTATCAAGCGGCACCGAATGTATTGGAAAGTTCTGAGGGCCAAACAGTGCAAATTCCTAATGATGAAAATGCCACATCAACGCACAGCTTGAGAACTGCCTATTTGTTTGTCTTTTTCAACGCCCAAGACATCCGGCTCTGCCTTTCCACTACCGTCGCGGTGATTTTGCACCGGATGGAAGCACGTGGGAGTTGGATCGCTTCGGGTCGTGTCCCGCGCGGCGCGTGGGGGGAGTGGTTGAAGCAACACAGTCACAGGCACAGCTGTACAACCAACAATAGAATGAACATGAATGCGGACGCATTCACTCCAATAGGCACTCAACTCTGTACCACCAGCACTAGCAGTAGCATTCAATTTGCACTTGGCATGGTATACCCGAAAGGGTGCACAGGTTTCTCATACAAAACTGCCCTTTGTGACGAATAGGGCCAGGGAGAACCCCTTTGGAATTGGTGCATGCTGGGTTTGCTGCAAGTCGACTCTGTGATGCAGCTTCAAGCGTATGTGGGAGCACCGTTGAAGCACTTCCTAATGAACATCCTTCACGGCCCATTTCTTCTCCTGAAATATTTAAGATCATCTTCCCTTCACATTAACACACACAACATATGCAGTGTGCAGGTCGACTGACCGCACATCGTGAGGAGGTGCCCATATGGAACGCCCCAAACATTAATCTTATAAAACCCACCTGAAATATCCTGAAAAAAAGAACAATCAATGCCTCCCAAAGTCTGACCAGGGTATGGCACAATGTTTCTGAGGGCGCTGAGGATATGTCCCAAACACTGTGAACAATGATTGAGTGATATTGAGTGGCAAGGCCTCAAATGTGTTGCCAAGACCTATAGTAGCTGACACGAGACTTTTGAGGGGCAGGAAATACGTGGGTAGAGCACCCAAACAACATGTCAACAGTATAAATAGTGACACATAATCTAACGGATGCTTAGGCGTATTAAGTGGTATTGGTTTCAGCAATTTTTTTTTCACATAATGCTCATTGAACCTATTATAATCAAATAAATATATATTGTCTAAAGAAGGGGGAGTGAAGTGAACTACTAGTGTACTTCAAGCTCACCCTCAGTTTATTAAATTGGATTTGATGTAACTAACTATGTATATACAAACATTAGCTGTGCTATGCTGTGCTTCTCTGGAGCTGATTCTAGTGACATAGTAAGCCCTGCATGGCAGCAGCGGAACCGCCAGAAGGATCCCAAATTCAGCACACTGGCAGTGCCCGAAACATGGCCGCTGCTTCGGGGTTCCTTTCTCTCTCCAAGCTCTTTCACGCTTTCTGTTCTCTGCATCTCCGAGAAACGCTTCCCTTTCTGTGGTTTTCAAGAGTCTTCTGAACCGGATCATCCGAACCGGTGTGAAAGTTGACCCCTTCGGCTAGTGGCAGCGGCCACCTTCTGTGGCAGTGCTCGCAAAAGAACACGGGTAGTGTTCGGACCACAAACGAAATGGGCCAATCCATCCAAAAACACCTTGCAAACCGGTATCAACATGGGTCTCAAAATGTCCAAACTCGCTAGAAGAAGACATCAGTCTTACAACACCAAATAACAATCTAAATCATTCTACATCGTGCAAACAATTCCTGTTCTGAGTGTAACCAATCCATTCAAGCAAGTCCCGAAATATGTTGGCATTTCTACGCAATGGACCATCACGGGTTTCCGCTCCGTAGTGCAGCTCTTGGCAGGCAAGTGTCTTGTAGACAATTTTATGTTTTTCTACGTTTCAGCCTTCGCAGTACAACAGTACTGCCAACAGGAACACCGGCAACAGTGCTGGCAACAGGAGCGACAGTAGCTATTGGCAGGACAGGAACTTGAATGAGTTCATTACTAAATATAAAGATCATTCATAATCATACATGTTACATAATCTCGAAACAAAAATATACAGCGCTTCGCGCCCGAAAGCCGCCCGCACGGAAAGTGTGCGTCTGTCTGTCTCGGTCTGCCTCGGTCGGGCAGGACACACAGACGAACACACACACGATGTCAATAGTCTCTTTCGGTCTGTCTCCTCCGAAGCCATACGGGCAATCATGCACACGATATCAGTTTTTGTCCATGTTCAAAAACCATCAAAAACACACCATTTCCCAAACACAAACGGGCCCCTTCCCCCAAGCTAAAGCTTAAGCTGTTTATCTAGCAGCTGATCTTCCAGCCTACGCGAGCCAACACAACGCCTCAGCACCTTCGGCGCGGGCGGATTTATAGGCCTTAAAAGATTTTTTCCCAAAAAAAACATCAAAAACCACATGCTCAATACCATTCACTCGGACTGGGCACACGACCGAATACGTCCACGATATCAATCGTACAGTGTCCCGCGGTTTGCCTAGACGTTTGCGATTTCTGCGATTTCCATAACGCAGCCTCCCCCGGCCGGCATAACCGGCATCGCATATCCATAGTGCAGGGCCCTTGGCTTGCCGAGACGTCTGCGATATCAATAATGCGATCTGTCCCGACCGGCATATCCCGCATCGCCAACATCTGGTCCAATTTTGGTCAATTTTCAAGACACATTGAAAAACACAGCATTTCTAAGAGAAAAATGCGCCCCCCCCAAGCTAAAGCTTAGGATTTATCTAGCCGGATTCCTTGCGATTTACACGAGCCTACACAACGCCCTCGGCACCTCCGGTGCGGGCGGATTTTATATAGTATATTAATATAATCTCTATGTCCACTGAATTGATGGGTGTGATTGGGTCGTTTGGATCGACTGGGTGGTGCCACAAGGCCCAACGTTTTGGCCACAAGCGGCCGCGAATTGCCGGCTCACTTTTCGGGCATCTCCCATGAAGGCTCATCCACAACATGGATGGGAAAGAGATCCGGGAAGAGGGCATTGAAGATCGAAAATGCCTCGGTCAATGGCCAAGGTTTGTCAAGTTCATCCATCATATTGGGCAAAGGTTTATCCAGTCTTCCGTCAAACCCGAGCATATATAGCCCAAACATGAAGAATCTATGTCTATGTCTGACTCAAGCACCACATCCGATGCATGTGGACTGTCTTGATTCAAAACCATTGTCACAGCCAGGAGAACCAAGTTGAGGGTTTGGTCAGTTTGGACTCGGACTGCCCAAACAGAATCAAGCATCTCGTGAAACCCGGCACAGCTGACTTCAAGCCAACTCACTTGTGAATAGTATGGTAAGACACGAGTTCAAATCCCGTACTGAAAAAGGTGCTGATCTTCTTTCTCTTCTGCTCACATCCGCAAAGCCTACTGTGAAATGCTAGTGGCCTAGTGTCAGCCGGTTTACAACATTGATCAGATCGACCTGGATAGGTGCTTCGCGTCATCTGGTATCCCACAACTTGGTAGAGTGAAGAACCATGGTCCGTCTGAGAGTCTCCTGTTCATTGATGTCGTTTGCCATCGTTTGCCCCTTTGATGTCGTTCTTGGAGCCGCCCAAGTTGCTGCAGTCGTTGGCGTTCTGAGGGGGTTCGGCCAAAAGGTCGCCTCGTGGCACATGTCTGTAATTGAGAGACCACCGAGTAGCCGGGAGGTCCTTAAACTCCTTGGAAAACACATCTGAGACTAAAGATGCAAGGGTGACATGCAAAAATGACGCAAGGGCTGGCATTTTTGAGGGTTGGTTTTTCAATTAGGGCGACCACGAAGTCCACAACGCCCCGAACATGAGGTCGGGACTGCAAACAACACAGCGGCATAAGAGGTGAGTTTCCCGAATGGTTGTTGGAGGTACACTCGTTTTTGAGACACTTCACTCGTTTTGAGGTATATACCTATATTATATCCTATTATATATATATATATATATATCCATTCCCATTGCAAAATCGTCTGCAAACGCAAGGCCTCTCCATCGAGGAATCCCGAAAAACTGAGCCCTTCTGCGTCGAACAAGCACACAACTTGAAAGGGTATCGGGCTCGATGCTCGTGCTCGAATCTACCGTGTTCTGGGGTAGTTAGCCTTCAACTTGAAGGCCGCTCTAGGTCAATGGATGCTCCGAGTCCTTCGCTCATCCTTTCTTGCGCCAGTAAAAACAGTTTCACAAACAAATCCCAATAACAGCCATATGAAAGCACCACCAAAACGATGGTACAACCTGCTGCAGTACTGCCCACACCTCCTCATACCCCTGACCTTCCATGGATACAGAAGGTGGTGGTCAATGCTTTGAACACACTCTTAGATTTGCAGCGATGGACCCAAACAGTTAAGCATCTCCCTTCCAAGAGACCGGGTAATATAGCCACTCCTTGGATGTTTAAGGCCTGTGAATCACCAACGCGTGCATGGTATAGACTCGATGCGTGTGGGGGTGAGCACTTGTGGATGGGCTGACATCAACTTGTGGATGGAAAAACCCAGTCATCACACCTGAGGACTCCCGGTGGCCCTTGCGCTGAGTGACGCCATCTTGTTGACAATGTATCCGATAGTAGCCTGGGTCCGCCAAACATGCAAACGGCCGGATTTTCCCATTGGCATCGGTACCCTTCCTGCGGCGTTGCTACGAGTACCCGTGCTACTGCTTTTCTGTGAGGGTATCCTTTTGCCGTGTTTTTCAAGTCAACCTGCTACTGCTACAGTACACTATAGCAGACCGAATCTCCACGTATTGGCGGATCTCACAGGCTCACAGAGTCTGCCCATGCACGACCTCGATCCATCTAGCATCATTGATGCGAAAGAGGAACAGCGCTCCTCTCTTCCTAGTATAGCCAAGGAGCTCCACACAAAGTAAATCGTGATGATTATGACACCTCAGTTGCGCATGTTGACCTCGCAAACAGCTGGGTCATCTTCCATCAACTTCCAAACCTACAACAGTGCGCCGCAAAAGAACCTAAAGGATTGCCATGATTGACCTAAGAAGGAGCAAAAGACTGAGCAAAAGCCAGATGCCATTCTTTCCACCTTCGATGAGATCGAAAGCCCTGATGAAAGCGCACAACTGTTGGTCCGACCACAGTGGATCGGTGGAGAATGCACATATTAAACTGTGGAATCCACCGATTGCAGGATTCAAGATGAGTAGACTCAAGTCACACTTGTTGCCTTTAAGTGACGTGCACCCTGCCTTGTACAACCGATCCTCTTGCAAACTCCACTTGCATACATGATCCAAGTCATTACGGTGCATGTCCGAAGGAAAACATCTCCAGCACCAGGGTCTGGGCGAACTGGGGACAACATCTAAATGCGCATGTACCATCACCCATCATCACCCTAGCACAGCAACCACCTGGACAAAAACAATCAGTTTCGACATGATCTGGTGGGTCGATCGTTTAGGACTGTCCTATCTGATGAAACATCTGAAGGTTGATCTGGTGGGTTTGATACCAAAGGCATCTCGAATCTGATCCAACAAAACGACCTCCATCCACCGATCGCTGAGGTGAGCACAAACTAGTCCTCAGTGAACCGGCGGGAACGAGTCATTCGTCAGGGGTGAGTTCGTCAGGTGGTCTTTGAAGATTGGATTCCACGTGGTCTCCATCTTGACATCAGCTCTAAAGACCAGCCCTGAAGCCCATGAAGCTGATGAAGGTTGTGTTTGACAGTGTCTTTGAACCTTCAGTTCGCGAGGAAACCGATGCTGTGGGAGCACTAGACTTAGAATCTGCAGGTCCAGGGTGGGTGTTCAAATTAAGAGCCCCGTGAACATTTCGGCAATTGTCTGTTTTGGTTGGGAAACTCAGGTGGCTGCGTATGTTTGTTAAGGCTATCTGGTTCCCATAGCTTTTGGAGAGCCAACAAAAGGGTGATTGAGTATGCTGATGTACGCATTCTCTACTCAAATCTATTCCACTTCATTTGCTTCATTGTGCTTCCAAACACGTGGCCTCCTGACCCCACATAGCACCAATGCCATATCCCCTCCTAGTTCGACCACCTGCAGGCCTCTCCCAGGCTGAGCTCGAAGCGTGTAGGGAAAAGAATCGCAAGAAGGTCCCGACAGCCTCAAAGCATCGGAACGAGCATCGTGCATCGTGCATCGGAACGACCGGTTGAGTGATTAGGCCTCGGACCCACACAGAGAACGGACGATCGGTTGAGTGTTCTGACATGTTCTGACTAGATAAAATATTGAATGATAGATATTGATATAGATATTTTAAGAAGATCCAATGTGTACCTGTTGCTTCCAAACCAAAACGATTTGACGATTAGAAGAATGCGTGGAGCACACATTGTGTACCCTTCCCGGCCCGGTACCCTTGCAAACATACCAGGTCACAGGTAGGCCTGGAAAATGACTTTCTCTTGTGCTGTGTCTGGCTTTGTTATTTTAGAGAGAGAGGAAAAAACAATAACGCGGCATAATCTCCTCATGAACCAGCGTCAGTTTCTATGAGCTGTAGCGTGACTTCAAGTGTTTGAGGAAAAAACTCTGCTGGATGATGCAACTCAAGAACATGGCGGGATCATCAGTTCAAACGATCTTAAACTTGATGATAGATCCACAAAATGCACGTCCAGAACCCACTATAAAAGCCGCAGGTTTTGAGCACAACTGTTCCAGCCCACAGTTCAGGGGCCAAGGAGCGTACACCCTCCTCGAGCTTGGCACCCCCATATCTGGTTAAGAGCTCGTCATCTGACATGGTTGCAGCCTCGACTCAACGCCACGACTCAACAAGCAAGATCGACCCCGCCCTGCCATGCAGCAAACGTGTGAATCCAAACACAAAGAACCAGTCATCCTGGCACCCCGAGGAATTAAACCGCTTGTTCAGCTGCTTTTGCGTTGTCCAAGTTGACATGTCTGTCTCCTGGAGTTGCAGCTCTACCGCTGAAGCTGTCCGCATGATCCTGCTTATATACAAAGAATAGAGTTTTGACATGTTTTAGAAAGGGCAATGGCTGGGCGTGGGGATATCTCTTGTGACGTTTGTGGGTGCCATTAATCCCATGCCAATGCAACTTTACACATACAACAAGACATTCAGCATGCCAGGTAAGGCCACCTCTGTTTGCCATCCAAGAGTTGTGATCAGCATAATGCAAGTGAACCAGTACAATCAAATGGGATGAGATGGGCTCCCTAGACCTCGCAAAGCTTTCGTCATCCGACCTCTGGCACCTTTCACTCGACGGAAGAGTGCAAAACGCTACCGGGCCTCAATGTCAAAGAGTGGGTAGTCTTTGCCTTGGATCACTCCGAAGATCACGCACAAAAACTAGGATATGCACGGGATAGGAGTTCACGACGAGCACATCTGGAATTAGTGACCTGTCGCCTGCAAAAGGACGGTAGCAACGAAGTAATGTTTTAGATACATGAACCCACTTATATACTTCGTTGTGTCCACTAATCTGGCATGAGAACTGCTTGCATCTGCTTGAGCAAAGCAAACCCCATCAAGTAGAATGAACCTTGACTGGGTGCAACTCAGCAAGTGTATATATACAAACATACTATCGTTTTTAAAATATCATTATCCATAGTCTGTCGCACCAACCTCTGGCAATTTGTTGGCAACGAATTCGAAACAAAGTTGCAGTATATCAAAAGAATCTAAGAATTCCCGACCAAGAATTTTGGGTGGGACCCATCAGCTAGAGTTTTAGAGCAACATGTCCAATTCTGAGTGTTCCTGCCAAAGAACCCATTGCAGTTGTCGTTTCAAGGTCTTTCCTACATGTGTCGCAGTCTCTGCTGAGCCACATCGACTGAGCATCGACAGCGTGCTTTGAGATGTCAAGGTCTCACCTGTCGATGTTGTGCGAGGTTGTGCTGCAAAGAAGGTGTTTGCATTCTGCCGGGCTGGAAGCATCCTAAAATATCTCAAATCCGTGCAAGATCACATCAGGGAATATGAGGGAAGAAAAAACTATGGCATTCCAGATTGTGGATTGCATGTGAATTGGCAAATGATGCAATTAGCAAATGATTTAGCATCCCCAACATAGACACCTCATACCTTCTGCGGTAATGAAGTATCTGAATGTGTTTGAAAGACGTCCACTATGTTTTCGGGTCCAAATATGAAACCTACAACATGGTCGGTAACACATTAAGTTCCTAGATTCAATTGAGCCTATCCCAAAGGAGTTCTCATTCAAATCAACACTTATGACATATACGCGTATAATAATGACATGTTCCCCCAAACTGCTGTTGCCACCGGGGGGTAGGTCGTCCTTGGTGGCATACATATTATATTGCTCATTATAGGGATAATTAGCTCTATATCATTCCCTACATGGCCTCATATAGTTTATTTGGTGGTGTATTTGGTGTCTCCCAAAACCAAAGTCCTGCCTCTTGGTCACGGTCAACCTATCCGCCCGGCTGCGCACGTTCGTCCAAGCGTCAAATCATCTCATCAATGGACAAAATGAAGGTCAACGCGATGGAGTTCACCTCGGCATATGGTGGAGGTCTTCATGCCCCCATCACGGCGACCTTTTCGGGTCAGCAAATTATTTGTGGTGCATAACTTGCTTCATTTTTCAGTGTTGTCAGTATCCTACTTTGTTGTTCCTGCCTTAGGGACCCTTGTCACGGCAGAAAAAACTAATCCCCATGGAACAAAGACGCAAGGTCCAATTTACCGCTCGTTTTACAGGATCGGGTGGGATGGGTGGGGTGGGGGTAAGAACAATCCGTTCACGTGCTATTTTGCTGCATAGAGTGCTACGTGATGTGGATGTGGGATGGGGTGGGGGAGGGTGGATGGGGTCGGGTCATATCACCATTGCTGGGCGTGTGGGTCACGCGCTACAAATGGATCAGAACGTTGTTTGCTGTGGGCAATGGCTGATGCCCGGCAGCAGCAGAGATCACAATAGGACAGGATGTGGTATTTCCTCGAAAATCTAGCTACCCCAATCCATACCAATCCCGTTGTTTGAATAAATACGTGTTGGACATTGTTGGACAACACCTGACAACGACACAAACAACACACAACGACACAACCACACCATCAAACCATCGCAACACATCTCGCATCTCGCGAGCCAGTCGCCTGACCCAGTGGCCTGACCCAATGGCCAATAACATGACAGTAAACAACTAACATTGACACACGCACACACACTGGCAACACCAAACATAACCAAACATAACCACAACACATGTATAATTGATTGCATGTAATTGTTTAATCTAATAGTTTGGCCAATCTTGACAACACTCCAAAAAACAAACGCAACAATAATTTACAAGCAATGACACGCACATGACAACACCAAACGTAACCACAACACACAATGGCCCTTGGATGCCTCACAAGTCACCTACCCTGGGCGGGTGGAGATAGCTTGATGTCTAGTACTGGTCTTGGGTCTAGGTTGCAACGGTGAATTAGAACGGTTTCGAATGGTTTGGAACTAACTCGAATGTACTTTGATGTGTACAAGGAATGGACCTAAAACTATCACTGGAGGGACTCTCACCCCGGCCATAGAGTTGGCCCAACCCTCGTTGTAGTTGAAGCTCTTAGCATTTGCTGGCACTGTGTAATTGAGCAAAGTGAACCGTGAAAGCACACAAGGAAAAACATGTAGTCTCATTTGAAATCCGGCTTCCTCATAGCCTCGTATACCAGCAGTACTACCAGCAGTGTTTTGCTAATTTCTCACACACCCTTTTTCTCGCTTCTCGGCCTCCTGCTTTGTTTGGTGTCTATCCCTAAAGGATGGTGAATCCTGGCTGCCATCTGCCACCTTGACCGAACACATGCCTTCTCCCAGGAAACCATTTCTGCCCAGTGGCAACCAAATCACTGATCGAAGCTGTTTCCATCAGGAACGTAATGCCTTTCCAGGCGGTGGGAACTAACGGTGCAAGCAGCCCCCCAAGTCAAGCACAAGACCTTCGATCGTCTTCGATGGTGCTAGTTTGCAAACCAAAAATACTCACTTGTTCAAGACTTGACATCAATGACCCACAGAAAAATGAAACAAACAACACCTCTCCATACCTCTCTGGTGTCCTGCTTCAAAGTGTTTTCTCAAACGACTGGCATACCACCGCCTGTCTGGACCGTCAGCTTCCAAACCAAGATCTTGGGCAGCAAAATACACACTGCGTTGATCACCTGATGGCGTCAACGGTCGGTCCGCGTGGGTCCCCGTGGGGATGTTCGGGCTGCACTTGGGTCACTTTAAGGGTCAAATGCATTTAAGATCATTTCAATTCTAATCATTTATATATATATATATCACCCAGCAGGAAGGTCACCATTCACTGGATCTTCTTGTTACACAAATCCCTACTGAGAAATAGGGAAGAGTAGGGAGGTTTGGGAGTCCCTTGCAGGTGAAAGAAACAGCATAACAAAAGCATTACTCCATAGTAGTCCCCTCTTTCCGTACCATCAATGATGATAGACTCTCTGATTGATGAAAAAACAAAAACAAAAACACTTCTCACTTCTCACCTGTATGACGATCATGATCTTCCACATGTTGATTGAAACAAGCATGGGAAACACCTGCGCGAGTGTCTGCCCAATCCCTGTTCTGCTTTGAATTTCGTCTAAAGCCCGGTGACGTTCCCCCATTCTGTCTATTCAAGGAGATCATGAAAGCCGTTGGTCAGGGGATATAGTTAATTACTATACACCCAATTCCCAATGGCCGCCAAGAATTAAAACTACGAGTACGTGAATGCGCAGGAACCCATCTGAACAGCCCGGATGTGGGAATCAGTCACCAGTCTCTCGCCACATCCAGTTTCTCGGCCGCCTTCCACATCAAAGGCATTCCAGCAATCTTCAGATCGATGGAGTCTAACCTTGGGATACACAGATCAACGGTGTCTCGCGGAGACATGGACACTCGGCCCGCTGCTCCCGCTTTTCTGATCGGAGATGCCTCAACCCCCCCTGTTGGGGTCTGAAAGCAACTGGTTGGAGGGCTCGGTACTTGTCCCAAATCGCAACGAATGAAGGAACAATGATGTCGGAAAGGCTACACACCTGCCTGTACTGCTCACAAGGCTCTAAGCCGTTGAAAACACACCGCTGGTACAGATCTGTCCCCGCAGAACTCCAATTGAAAGCCCAGGGTTTCCTGCGAGGAAAGACCGTTGGCAGGTACAGCTCAAAATCTGTAAGTCAACCAATATGTGTGAGAAGTCAGAAATTACCACTTCCTAAGAGTTTCTAGACCTTTTGAAATCTCTTCCATTACTCGCGCAACGAGTCAAGCGCCACTGAACGGCCATGGACAAACAGAACCAAACCGGAAAACAGTCATTTCTCCCAAAACGGTCCTTTCTTCCTCCACCTGCCGGGAACTTTCCTCCTTCGCCGTTGGGTTTCGAGAACATTTCTTCTCTCCAAGGCGCCAGTCCTACGACGACGTGAAGGGACGACCCGCACGGCTCCGTTCGAAAACCGAAGATTGTCTGATGGTATCCTGATTGTCCGAAAATAGAGGTGCCATGAGTTGCTACACTCTTTTGTTTTCGACATGTCTTCAGGTTCGAGTACTAAAACCAAATGGTCGGACATGTTGCACAGGTTCTGGTGCACGGTTGTGTCCACGATCTCCGGAACATCGGAACTAAAAAACAGCTCCAGAGACAACTCGTTACAGGTTGGGGAAGAAGGACAAATATTATTGTCAGTCTCTATCGAACGACACTGAGCAAAGGTGCAAAAAGAGGTTATATCCGTTCTTCGTCTTTTCACAGTATGACAAAGTACAGTATGACAGGGACACATAAAACAATCCTCATACACACATCATAAAAAATGAGACTCCGAGACTGAGAACCTGTAGCAAATTCAGCGAACCAGCCATCTTACCTGAGCCACCAGGCAAGCGACACGAGCGCAGTGACAAACAGTTGCACAAAAGAACACTGTTTTGCAAATCCCAAGTCTGTACCAAACTAAACACAGAGTATATTGGTCGGACAACTCCCTCTAGTTGGTTGGATCCCCCCAGGAATCGCAGAGCGCAAACAGCAGCTCTTCAGCTGGTCAAGCACCTGATGAATACACCCAAAGATCCAAACATATCTAAACAGTGGGTCTATCCTATTACCTGTTCACAAATAGTGATATATGTGTTTACTGACTGTTGCATGTAATAGGACAGAACCTATCCAAATATATAAATGAATGCACGATCAAACAAATCCTCCATTTCCCCAAAACAAAGCTTGCAAAGGAATGCCAACGAGCTATCAAAACAACTGTGAGCCGAAAAAGAGTGTGAGCCGACCATTCCGAGACCGTACCTTTCAACGAACACTTCGGTGGAATCGAGATATATCGAGATGGAGATCCGACATCAAAAAACATCTCCTCTTCAAAGACATCTCCGGATGGAGGCACCGCCGCCGAAGCTAAGTCCTCACTACTCAGCAGCTTGGTCGCGCTTTTTGATGCTTTTTGCTGTGTAGCAGTCATGGAACACAAAACAACGAGTTTTACTGCTTTTCTTTTGATCCACCCGCACCTCACAATGGACAGAAAATGAAAGAAGTAAAGAAGAGTGTGTTGGCAACCAAAGAATCCCACTCACTAGTTTGATGAGGTCCCAATTACAACTGGCTCACAAGGAAACATAGCAGGAAATGACGCAAGAACAAACATCAACAAGGGTTTAGCAGCTAAAACAGAAGAAACACACATGAAACATAATAGTAGTAAAAATATTGTACGCACACGTACAAAACAAACAAAAAGGCAACACAAAAAGAACTGTCAGCTTTGCTCCTTCTGACGACTGTACTGTATATATATATATTATAAACTATCTCTGTGCATTCGGCTGGATTTGTTCTTAAATCGGTTTCTATAGTCTACCTGTTTGATGCCTTGTGTTGTCTTGATTTTCGCTCTTTTGGGGTGGTGTTCTGCTTGCAAAACTCCTTTTTGTTTATCCCTCCTCGCTTTTGAGATCCGCCTGTTGCTTGCTTCGTCTATGCTCATCTATATAGTTTTGTAGTTTTATCTTTCCATGAACAGTCTTCACTGAGCCCAGAGGCTAAACACACACCTCCGACAGCAGCAAATCACTAAAAAAACACAGCCCCCATGTGACCTTCCTTACAGATCTCTATAAAATCTGACATCCCATGTCAGATAGTTCGAACTAAGGGAAGGTCATGAATGATACGCTGCTTCTCTTAGACTCTGGAACCCTCGGTTGCTCAATTCTATAGAGAGAAACTGTTATTATAAAGTGGTCATTCTCAGTACGCCGGTTACCTGATTCTATAGAGAAAATGTTAATCGGGATCGCTGTTGTGCTTCCAACGACGTTGAGTTTGACCATATGGATAGAAAGTCTTCCTTGGGATGTAAAGCAAGGACTCTCGTAACCATGCTTGGACAAAACCTCACACTCACATTTGAGGAGTCGATAAACCAAACCTCAGGAGGGTGGTGGATCTTGACAAACAGCACAACAATGTCTCTTCGCTTTTAGCTTGGAGGCCATCGCTATTAAGTTGGAGGCCATCGCTAGTAGGTATTTTTTCTTTATTCATGTTTTTTTTGTTTTTGAAGGCCATTGTCTCATCGCTGATCCCGGTGTCCTCTGCGCTCTTCAGCACCCGCGTGCTGCGCTTCTTATCTCCCAGCACTGACTGACGCGAATTGGCTCGAGCATCCTGCGGGTGCCGCGTGCTGAGAGGCGCCAAAAAGAGTTCATCGATATCTTTCCATTGATCCTCCACAGAACTGGAGCGCTAGGGGAAGTCTGGCAGAAATGGGATGCTCGAGGAATAGAAGATCCCAAGTTACATCTTTGAGTCTCCACCAAGCCCAAGCTTGATGTGCCTTGGAGAAAAGCAGCTATGAGCACCTACAGTTTTGCTAAAGACCCTGGCAGTGCTAAAAGGCCAGGGCACAAGCTGTGGTGGCTGGTAATGACTCGCGTTCACAAACTTATGCACTCCAACATCCTACCAATTTTGGTGTTTTACATGTGTTTACTAAATGCTACATTCATCATGAGGGACAGCAAACGTCCATTCCTATGGCGCAAATCGGCAAATTGCCCTTCTCTTCCGCTGAGATACACGCGCCTCTGGGTCATCCGAGGAGACCGGGATCGTCTTGACATCGCCACTGTCCAAGTCCGCCTCGCTGGATGAACAAAACACGCGGTGTGTGTGTGTGTCCACACCTGTGCCGAAGGTTTTGGGTCACAAAGAACGCTACTAGGCCCCCTGGTTT